GATATCAACGCCCCGAAAGAACACGTTTCCTCAATCGTCAAGATTTACCCTGAAGATGGAAGCAGGGTGTTCCCCATAAAGCTGACACCCACCTTCAACACCACACAGTGCAACAACCCAGAAGACTACAATTCGAACCATCACTTCTTTGAGAAACTTACATAAACATCACAGTTGATTTTATGGCAATACATAACGTAGGCTAAAGCCTCTTCAAACGGATATACACGAACAGAACATAAAACTGAAATGTTTGTGAAATTTAATGCTGTCGTTGCTGTTGGCGTGCTTACTGCATGTAGGAAGAACTGAAAAGCGTGCAGATGGAATGTGTGAGGCCCGAGTGCCGAGGATAACCCTGAAACTTTAAACGTACAAGGTGCAGAATAACAAAAGGTTAAAAACACGGCAATGTGAGATCTTGTGGCCTACAGAAGCACGAATTTGCCTAATTCCGTAATGGCAAAAGATAAAGGTTTTCTATCATGTATATTTTCCCTACATGGACGTTGTATTTCCGCAGTGATTTTCTTTATCTAAACGGTGTCCTTGATGTAGATGCCGCTACTGTAGGAGACTGGACATTTCGCTGTATTCGTAGTAACTTCCGCTAACACGAAATGACTCACGTTTGTTCATTCATAATCTGTAAAATGTGTAACCTAAGCCTCATACTAGTGTTAATCACAGTCGATTTCATGGAACTACGAACAATGTGACTCATCACACACGTTGACACCACGTAAGTGACCCTTCAATTGTGTTCCTAGAAGCGAGACAGACATATTTGACGTCACCCGGTAGTTAGAGCGTACTGCTGACAGAGGAGTAAGTGATCTTAGTTATTAAAGATATTCCAATTTATTGACTTACTCTTTTATGTTTTTTCTTGTATTGATATCCAAGAAAAATGGCTTAAAACTTAAAAACGGTCATTATTTCATTCACTCCATCCAACTGCATGTTTTTATTTGCTGCCATATAGAGAAATAATAAGCCGAAGGTAAGGTAAAAAGGTAAAGATGTCCCTGTGCTTAACTAATTAAGCACTAAACCATGAAGGTGTATGGGGGAGTGAATGTATAGATCCACATTTTCTTGACCTCGGCATTAGTTGGAGGTGAGAGGTCAGCTTCACGTCCCGTCCGCTTTACCCCCGGGGAAAGAACCCCCGGTACCCATTGGATGGGAGGTTGGGTGGATCCCAGAGCCGGTCTGGACGACATGGAGAAGTGAGAAATCTTGACCCCCACTCGGACTCGAACTCCGACCTCTCGGTCTTCTAGCCAGTCGCTGTACCGACTGAGCTGAAGGGAAGAAATAATTATGTGTACATTCCAAAATACTTATAAACGAATACCAAGGAATATGAACACTTGAATTTGAGGTTCTAACAAAGGTGGTCAAGAAGATAATATTATCTTCTTGAATATAACGCCAAGTAGTGGGGTGGAAGTTGACAGAAGTTTCGGATGAACATATTGCCACCACCTTCAGGATCGAAGAACAAGCCAAACAAGAAACCAGCATGACGAAGGCAGCAAAGAGAGTAAGTAGAGATGGCGGTGGTGTGTTCCTCCGAAACGTCGGTTAACTTTCACCGGATTAGGTAGCATTATAACCAATAAGATAAAACTCGACATGAATAGTTTTCTGTTTGATACATGGAGACGCAGTGAGCCGTCAGTGTTCGGTGTGATGGAGATAACTAGGGAACAATTAGAACCGGGCATCTGGACTTCAGTACGGAGATAAGATCATGAGCATACCCACGCATTGAGAATAAAACATTGCTTGTATGTAAATAATTACAAAACATGGCGTCAGTTAGAATCTTTGAAGTTATATCTGTCAAATTTAATACAGACAGAACCTGTACTTAATAATACGTTTATTTACACAAGTAAAATAAAATATGGAAGTATATTTTATGAGTATTGCTCAGAATTCCTTTACTTTCCAAAGTACAAATCCGTCAAGTATTCTGCATATATTGGCCAACGATTCATCTTAATTCTTTTCCATTTGCAACAACGTTCCTTGTCAGTAACATTCCAGAAAGAATATTAAAGTAAACCTGCTTCTGTGCCCAATAACCATGCTATGAAGATCAGAATTTATAATGAGGCACTAAAACAAAGTTTATATGTCTGACCACAGTACATATTATTTTATATCAAAACACAGGCTAAATTTTCTTGTGGCATTAACATTGTTGTAACCATAGGAAAAAGTAAAGCTATCCCTGTAACAGGCCGTGGAGGCCTATAGGGCTGTGAGACGTTGAGGCTCCCGCATTTTGTAGACAAAAAGTTCATAGATTGTGGTGAAATGTTCAGCCTCACGCACCAACCACCCTTTACCCCAAGGAAGATTCCTGGTACTCATTTCTGTCAGAGACTGAGTCGACCCCAGGGGCCGTAGCGCGGCTGGAAGGATTAAGTAAATTAAAAAAATCCAATGACCCCAAAAGGAATCGAACCGGCGATCTTGCGTCTTGTAGCATAGTACCTCAATCAACTACGCTACCGCATTCCCCCCATTGTTGTAACCATTCTTATAAATATTATTCTCATTATTTTCTGTTTGATGTTAGCATCTATGAGAATATTAGTAAATAAAGAGCTTTTATTTTCATAGCTATGATCTTCTAAGATATGACGCAGTGTATTTTGGTATATTTTCTTCTTTACCACACAACATTCATTTAGGTAGGAAAATTTATTTTATTTCCTTCCAAACACAATATGGAATTCTCGAACCGATTTGTAGTGTTAGGTTGTTGATGCTTGTTCATATGACGCCCAAGATGGTCCTGTGTCTTTCCCCTGTCATCTTGGCAGATCTCTGTCTCGTCACCTGCTCAGTTGGAAACGGAATGGAAATCGGGGAGGGGGGTGGGGTGGATTCTTTCTATGATTATTATTATCGAATGATTTCTCCAATTTACTGGTATCCTTGTATCTCTTGAACCATATTTCTAACTTTCAAGCTTCCTCTGATGTCAGGACTTCTTGGTAGTTCAAACTGGCGAAGTGTAGTGGTAGTCTCAAAAACGCGTTTGAGCTAGGCTCCGCACTTCTAATTTATTTTTGGTTTGAAATCCAAATTTCACTTCCTTAATTAAGTGTTGCGCCGATCACAGTGGCCGCGCGGTCTAAAGCTGAATTGTCGTTGCATGCTCAAACACTTGGATCGTGGGTTCCAACCCAACTCGAGGCATGGATATCTGTGTGCGTTTATTCTGTGTTTATGTTGCTCTGTGTGTGGGTAGAAGTCTTGAGACGGGCTGATCCCCCGTCCAAGGAGTCCTACCTACTGTGTATAGATTAAGAAACTGAAAAAGCGGCCAAGGGCCAAAAATGGTTGTAGAACCATATTAAAATAGATTAGAATTAAGTGTTGCTCTCAATATGAATTATATAGTCATAATTTTGCATCAATTAATATCTACGTGCCAAAATTTCTTCTATTTTTTTTATTGCTTGTGGGGTGGGACTAAGTCCCTTGTACTGCGCCCACTTCTGGCCTATTGTACCAGCCCCAGATGACAGGTGAGGGTGATTGTGGAGCAATTAGTGGAATGAAGATTGGCAGGAGAAACCTAAGTACTCGGAGAAAACCTGCACCAGCGCCACTTTGTCCACCAGAAATCCCACTTGACCATACCCGGGATCGAACCCGGGCTGCCATGGTAGGAAGCCAGCGACTAACCGCTTGAACTGTGGCGAAGCCTGAAAATTTCTTCTAACTTCCGGTACATCGTCTATTTTATTGCATCTATGGAACGTCATGTCAGATGAAAACTCATCTCTCCCAAGTAAATAAAGTCAGAAAGGTACTACTTGTTCTACAATTTTCCATTTATTTCTGTTTTTAACCTCTGAATATTTATTTTTCACCTTCCCATTAGATACATTCTATTTTCCGATGTGGAAATTTGTATTTGCATGCGCGATTTTAGGTGATACATTTCTTAAAGTTCGTAATTAAGTTACAGATTTTGGTATTATTACTTACCACCTGCATGTAATATATTTTCATTGGATTTATGGGTAACCATTTAACCATCTAAAACCACGGCGTAAGGTCTCTCCATTATAGCTGGCAATCATTGAGGTAGTGAAGAATTTAGCCGCTTTTGTGGAACCCTACCAGCTGTATTCATAAAAACCTGACACTGGGATCCTATTCTGAGCCAGTTACAAAAAGTTCACACTTTTACGTAGTACATTCAGTAGATTCATTACAATTTTGTCCTCATATTCACGTCACCAAGATAATCTCCTTCCAGTATTTCGACCAAAATCTTTTACGCATTTCTTATCTCCATCATAATTGACCTTAACCAACTCACTTCATTCTCCTAATTTTTTTTCCTTGGCACTACAGCCCCAGTGGACCTAGGCCTACCTCCATGAACTCCGTTCACTTCGGTTTTTCTAGATCTTACACATACGGTAGGACTCCTTGGGCGGGTGATCAGCTCGTCGCAAGGCCTCTACCTGTACACAAACACAGAAAAACGCACACAAACATCCATGCCTTGAGTGGGATTCGAACCCACGATCCCGGCTTCCGAGCGAGCGAAGGCAGTGCATGCCTTAGACCGCTCGGCTACAGTGACCGGCCATTCTCCTAAATACCCCACAAATATTAGGTAAAGAGACAGATTATTGAAGCTCCTAGTTGTGTTACGTTTTCGATTGTGTAAGAGTTGATTTCTTCACGCGGTGACTATGAAGAATGCCGTTTTCTGGGATGTGGCGCCGTGTAGATCTTGTACGAACCGACGGTTTCCCTGGAACGTCTTCATTTTCGTATGATTAATTTCAACAGAAGTCCAAGAGCTGATAATGAACGTAGGGCTAACGGACCCTACGTCCCTCCGCGTAGCTCTCCTTACACACTTACGCATGAATACATCGGATTCGTTCTGTTGGAAAGAGCTCACTGAATGAGTGGTATATATTTCGTAACCGAGTTCTTTGAAACGAGTCGACTGAACTTTATAATGGGCTTGTTACTGGAGGCTTAGCGGCATTCAGTGTTACGTTCTTACGGTTTGAGGTTCTGGAAATCCTGAGAAAGACTCCACCACACTTAGGTGAGTGACATTTCTGTGCATGGTTACAGAGGCCAGAGGTTCCTTTAAGTTAAAGTGACATGTGATCTCTAAGGTTAATACAAACACGATTAAAACATAATTTCCTAAGGTTGTTGATTTTGTTATCGTAAGGTCATCGGTGTAACGGATTCAGCGCTGTCTGTTTCTCGTTCATAACTCAAATTTAACACACTTCCATTGGAGTAACGAGGATAGAGAAAATTCGTATTCACGAACTTTTAAAGTTAGCGTTAACAAATATCAGTAGAGCCCTAGAGAGAGTTGTCCCCGTGCTTAACTAATCAAGCACTACGCCATGAAGGCGTATGGGTGAGTGGATGTATAGACCCACGTGTTCTTGATCTCGGTACTTGTTGGAGGTGAGTGTAAGTTACACGCGCCGGCCGCTTTAACCCGGGAAAGAACCCCCAGTACCCATTGGATAGGAGGCTGGGTGGGCCCCAGAGCAGGTCTGAATGACATGAAAAAGTGAAAATTCTTGCCCCTATCGGGACATGAACTTCGACACCTTGGTCGTCCAGGCTGTGGCCGGTAACTATGACGACTGCGCTATCCCGGATCTGTCAAGAATTAGTGCAGTGACTAAATCAAGATGGATGAGATGGGCAGAACATGTAACACAGATCGGAAGATGAGAAATGCATACTCGATAAGGTGGGTTCTGCTGAAAGATATCGGTTGGGAGGCCAAGGTGTAATGCGAGAATCGTATTAAAATAGACATAAAAAGTAGGCTGTATTTCTATGAGCTAGATTCAGTTATTAACTTCCGAAGAGACACCTTGCAGAGGGGAGATACTCCGGTAAGCTACAAGTGAACTGAACAAGCTTATGAAAATGTAGAGCGTAGGTCCGCATTTAAGAGGCTCAGTTGGTTAAAGATATTTTAATGAAATAGGATTACGATTACCTCTTCCTTTATAATACACAAATATTACAATCACATACAACTGTTAATTGTTAGGTGGCATTTTCTGGAACTGTCCAGAAGTCAATAGATAAACAGGATGTGTTGACACTTTATTTGACACACACACACACACACACAAATCGCAAATATACCTATACAGGCATATAAAGCTATACACGTACAAGTTTCAAAGCCGCGTTCAATAGAGCACTGCATTTCATGCAAAAGAGAACCTTATTTTAACGCAGTCTGAAATTACTGAAGACTTTCTTCTTTCTTTCCGTTTTCTTTTAATTGTCTTAGCCGGGGTAGGGTAGTCGGTATAGCGACTGGCTACGGGCTGGACGACCGAAGGGTCAGAGTTCGAGTCCCAGTAGGATCAAGAATATTCTCCACGTCGTCCAGACCGACTCTAGGGCCTTTACACCCCTGCCCCCTTAACTTAGGAGGACAAATGTTTTTCTGTCAGGGTGTACTCCCTTTGGCGGATTGGTTTCACCACGCCTAAAGAGCACCCCCCCCCCAACCTAGGTTTTCTGTAGTTTTCCTACCCTTAGCCAGAGAGTCCCGTTTGAAGGCGCCAGACACTCGCCTTTCTCAAGGAGAATGAGGTGGGCAGGGCATGTAGCACAAATGGGGGAGACGAGGAATGCATATAGGATATTTGTGGGAAAACCAGATGGAAAGAGACCACTGGGAAGATGAAGGCGTAGGTGGGTGGACAAGAGTGAAATGGATTTTAGAGAGATAGGATGGGGTGGTATTGTATGGATTGGATTGATCTGGCTCAGGATAGGGACCAGTGGAGGGCTCTTGTGAACACGGTAATGAACCTTCAGGTTCTGTAAAATGCTGGGAAGTTCTTGAGTGGCTGCACAATTGGCGGCTTCCTAAGAAGTGATCAGCTCCATGAGTGAGCGAGTGAGTGGACACTTGCCTTTCACCCCGCTCTGTCTGCCACATCTGTTCTTTTACCCCAGAATATGTTGCCCAGGGGTCACCACGAGACGGGGTAGCTAGGATTTGCCGGCAGAGCCCTACTTAACAAGTGTCATTCTGGTACTTAATAGTGTGCACCTATTGGCATCAGTATGACCCACCAGAGCCATTTGCCTTACTCCTTTTTGTTTAATCGGGTTTAAACCGTAAGATTTGAGGAACAAATATACTACTGCTCTTTGTATTCGCACGCAGTTAAACTGCCCTGAAGATGGAGGCGATATGTTCCTCCGAAACGTCGGTTAAAACTAAGAACACACGGCGCCAGATCCCAGAAGACGACTTTCATCAACAAATATAACTACTTTCATTCCAACGATTTTCGCCTCGGTAAATATTCGGCTTGCGCACGAGATAAGCGCAGAAACTAAAACATTTCTTCATGTAATGTCGTTGTAAAATCTGTCCCATCTAAATGAATTGACTCGTCAATTTTTCTTAAAATTACCAAGTATAAAATGTGTTGTAAATATTTTCAGCTGTTCTCTAGCTGTTTCGTGCCGACGGACGAAATCAGTGAACCTAGTAAACGCTCTGCATCGTTGTGAACGCACCCAAAAGTCTTTCTTTTGTTTTCAGTCCTACCACACTCTGATGTACTAGCACCTGAAATGTGGATGTTTAATACGTCTCCGAAGAAACGTGGCAGTAGGAAGTTCATACTTCTGTCAGCTTAAAATAATGCAACTGCACAAAGAAGCAGGTAGTTTATGTGCAAGATCGCAGATTTCCAGTCCCTCTTTTTCAGTCTCTCATTAGAGAACTCAAAACTAATTCTGTACAATTTTGTACGAAGTTACACCAACATAATNTACAGACAGAGCGTTCGCGTTATCTCGACACTTGAGAGCTACCTAAGGCGGGGAGGGTTGGTATGTCCAGCGCGGTTCACAACCGAGCGGCAGCCTGTGTTGCGGCCGGCGGTGGCATTTTCGAAAATCAGCTTTAAGCACCAGTAAATTCAAATTAAAGGTAATTTCACGAAGTTAACTTTACACTCATACTTTAAATGTATCATGTCTTATGCTGGTTTATTATTTTGTTCCGTTTATTGTCAGTAATCGTTACCTTCTATTCTGAGTTTAAAACGGTCATAACTCCGTAACCGTCCAAAATCGGTCACATGTTTATATGAACTTTTTTGATCACAAAGACCTAGGAAATCACCTCCTGCAGTTATGCCCTAAAGTCGTGAAACACCCTGTATACACCTATATACATAGAAATAGAGAGTATTATAACTGAGATGAAACGTTCGAAATTACCCAATTTTGGGTTACCACAGCAGCGAGCTGTCGAGCGCTGCATGAAGGTAGATCCCAGTGTATCACGTCTGTTCTCTGAATACTGATAATGTTATATGTGGATATGTGAAGTGTATTGCACTGCATAAAAGAGACTTTTTGCAATTGATAATTTGTGCGTTACTGGGGGTAGATTGCGTTAAATATCGGCCTCGACATATACATTTCAATAAAGGGTAAGTAAGTAAAGCTGCCCCTGTAACAGGTCGTGAAGGCCCAAAGGGTTCTGAGACGTCGAGGATCCCACATTATCTAGACAATCGGCTCACAGATGGCGGTAAATTTGTCAGCCTTACGCACCGGTCGCCCTTCACACCCCAGGAAGATTCCTGGTACTTATTTCTGTTAGAGGCTGAGTCGATCTCAAGGCCATAGTGCAGCTGGAAGGATTAGGTCAATTTAAAAAATCCAATGACCTCATCGGGATTCGAACCCGCGACCTTTCAGCTTGTAGCATAGTGCCTCAACCAACTACGCCACCGCGTGCCTATATTTCGGTAACATATAGGAATAAAAAGAATACTAGAGGAAGCTTGGGAAGTTATCGAAGCTTGTATAACAAATGATAAAACTTCCCGTTGAATTCTGAACAGTAGTTAACTTTAAATCTAGAAGTAAACACAGAGGAAATTAAGTATATGTTGCTGTCTCGTCACGAAAATGGAGGGCAAAATCATGACATAGAGAGAGGAAACATGTTTTGGAAACGTGGCACAGTTCAGATATTTGGGAACGACGATAACAAGTGGAAACTTGATTCAGGAGGATATTAAGAGTAGACTGAATTCGGGTAATGCTTGCTACCATCCAGTCCAGAACCTTTTGCCTTCTCGTCTGCTGTCCAAAAACATAAAAGTTAGAATATACAAAACTATAATTTTGCCTTTGGTTTTGTATGGGTGTGAACCTTGGTCTCTGACGTTAAGGGAGGAACATAGACTGAGGGTGTTTGAGAACAGTGTGTTGAGAATATTTGGACCGAAGAGGGATGAAATGACAGGAGGTTGGAGAAAACTACATAATGAGGAGCTTCATAACTTGTACTCTTCTCCAAGTGTAATTAGAATGATCAAGTCAAGGAGGTTAGGGTGGGGATGGCATGTAGCACGAATGGGGGAGGAATGCATATAGGATATTGGTGGGAAAGCCAAAAGGAAAGAGACCGCTTGGAAGACCAATGTTTAGGTGGGTGGACAATATTAAAATGTATCTTAAGAGAGATAGGATGGAATGGTATGGATTGGATTGATCTGGCTCAGGATAGGGACCAGTGGAGGGCTCTTGTGGACACGGTAATGAACCTTTGGGTTCCATAAAATGCTGGGAAATTCTTGAGTAGCTGCAGAATTGGCGGCTCCTCAAGAAGGGCTCAGCTCCATGAGTAAGTAAGTTAACTTTAAATTATAAATATTAGGGCAGTCTTGAGGACTGAACTCTTATCTTCATAAGGAAGGTATGGCCGATAATAAATGTAATGAGGCCAACAGAAAAGAGGTAAGAGCGACATTTACAGAGCAGTACCAACAAAATCTCAAGAGAAGTAACTAGAACATTTGCATAGAATGCATGAAAACCGAAACCTGTAGCTGTTATATCAGTAAAAGCTGTAGCTGACGATACATTAGAGGCGTCCAACAAAAGGTTGAAACAGTTTCAACTATAACCTGAGCAGGCCCAAGTGCTTGAAACGTAAATCTAATGCATCAGTTGTGGTTAGGGAGAGGCAGAGAACTTGTCATCAAATTCGAGTATTTTAAAACTACAACA